AGTAAGCATACTATCGACTAAAGTACATGACACAAGTAATTGCTAGAGACTTCAAACCAGCTATCGCCTAGGATTATGGAGAACTGATCTAATATCAGACAGAAAGCCCAGTTTCAACTCTGCAGCAGAGGCCTTTGAAAAGTGTCCAGGAGTAATTGGCATTTAATCAATGCAGTCATTATCACAGCACATGGCTCCCGCAGCTTCAGGCCCCATTGCAACCACTGAACTGCAAAGGGGAGAATATGTCGGTGAAATTTAACTACCACCAACATGTAATTCACAGGCCCAGACTCGATCCACATGGAAATATACTAACGTTTTTATATTTGAGAAATACAGGTTCACTGTCCATAAGAATTCAGTCTTGTATCAATAATGGTATAAACTGTGATGGACATTTTCCATTTAGAGGCCCCTAATCAGCATTAATTTTGATAGACAGGAGGGTAAAAGCTACAATAGGCTGCCAAGCATTTGCTTTTCATCTAATCTTCTCTAAACTTTCCATGAAAGATTAGGAAGAATGTGAGAGCTTTTTTGCTCCCTGAGATATGGAAGGAGCATACGCTACTTATAATTTAGGGACAAGGAAGTATTGACTTTGCCCTTGGTTTTGCTTCAAAAAAGTGTTACCATCAGGCAGCAAGCAGGGTACTGAAAGGAGAATATACTTCTCTAGGAGGGTAGACACTATTCGTAGGCCTATGCCCTCTCTCCTTTTCTTGGCAAGAGTTCATAGTTTGCTTCCGCCCACCTTGTAAAAGGCAATTAGAAAAAAGAGGAGGCCCAATTTCCCCTCTCAGCACCTTGGAAGTCTCTCATGCATGACCGATGAGACGAAGTGAGGAGGGAAAAAAGTCTCTTTGAATTTAAGGACCCATAAAATGTTTACTTAGACAATGGTGGACGATTTCAGTGTTTTTCAAAGGGTACTTCTAAGTTACTCACTTCAGAATGATCTAACTCAGCGGTTCTCCACCTGTGGGTCGCGACCCCTTTGGCGGTCGAACGACCCTGTCACAGGGGTCGCCTAAGACCATCCTGCCTATTAGATATTTACATGATGATTCATAACAGCAGCAACATTACACTGATGAAGTAGCAACGAAAATAATGTTATGGTTGGGTCACAACATGAGGAACTGTATTTAAAGGGCCAGAAGGTTGAGAACCACGGAAATTAAAGAGCTTGTCCACAATGCAGATTGCCAGGCCCCTGCATGTGCTCTAAATCAGAATTCATGGAAGTAGGGCCTTGGAATCGACACTGTTACTAAGTGTTGCCAGGAACGCTATGTCCGCTAAAATGGATTCTCCTCACCTTGCCTCCATCTCAACATTGCTGTGCTCCAAGGCCAGTCTCTTCCCGGCTACTCTTACTCCTTTGATTGTATCAAGTCTCAGGCTTAGCGTTTTCACATGCAAATGGCACTCAGATTTACATCTGCCGCCCACAGCTTTTCCTCCAAACTCCAGAATTCTAGAGCTAACTGCCTGGTGGATGTCCAAAAGGCATATTCGAAAACGAACTCCAGTTTTCTCTCTGAACTTGTTCTTCCTCGCCTCAGTAAATGGCAGCACAATTTACCGCCAACCTTGGAGTCGTTCTTGATTCTATCCTTGACATCTTCCTCACGTCCTCTCATACTCATGTCCAATTAGAGCTCTTTCAAGATATGCCCCACAGCTTCCTCTATTCCCTGGGCTACTTCAGCAGCCTTCTGTTTGGTCTCTCTGCTTACTTTTTGTATCAGTCAGAGTTCTGCTGCAGATAACAGAAGCCGTTCTAGCTATTTGAAGCAGAAAGGAATTTAATACAGCTGTGGTAGACTGACGCTACAACAATCCTTCCCCATGTACCTTTTTGCAATGTGCCTTTGCTACAACTACTGTCTCCCCTCCCCAAATGGAGTCTATTTTTCCCTTGAATCTGGGCCAGCCCTCTGATGAACTTTGACCAATAGAATGAGGTAATGATATTGAGTGACCCCCAGACCTAGCCATAGGAGGCTTTTCCAGATTTCATTTTCACCCTTTTGGAAGGCAGCCTTCCTATAAAGCAGGTCAGGCTAGATTATTGAGTGATGAGAGACCACATGGAGAGAGAGGGCTCAGACTTTTAGGCATCCCTTCCAAGATCCCAGACATGTGAGGGAGGCCACCTAGGACCTTGGCGCCTAGCATAGCTGACAGCTAAATGCAACCACACATGCGAGCCCAGGTGAGATCAGCAGAAGTGCCCAGCCAACCTAAGTTTTGGGAGATGTTGATTACACAGCACCAGATAGTTAAAGTATTGATGATGTTAGGCCTTGCAATACCTTTTGTGGCCTGTAGGGGCAGGCTCTAGGCTAAGCCTCCAGCAATGGTTTCCAGAGGAATACTGCAGAACTGGCCTGCCAGAGGAACTGCTACTTCTGCCATAATATGGAAGCTAAAAATCAGGAAGCCATCATCCACTTTCTAGCTCTAAAAACACACCACCTTAGCCACGATCTGGGCATCAGGAAGTCACTACAAGAGCTGTTGGATGGCCCTAGCCAGTTTGGCTCAGTGGATAGAGCATTGGCCTGCAGTCTGAAGGGTCCCAGGTTCAATTCTGGTCAAGGACACATGCCTAGGTTGTGGGCTCAATCCCCATTAAGGAGCCTGCAACTGGCAGCTTATCAATGATTCTCTCTTATCATTGATATTTCTATCTCTCTCTCCCTCTCCCTTCCTCTCTGAAATCACTAAAAGAATATTTAAAAAAATGTTTTGATAAGCCCTAGAAATCTAACACACAGTATAATGAACATAGATAACACTATTGTACTATTAAATATGGAATGTGATAAACATCACTGCAATGGCAATCATATTATAGTATGTAAATGTATTAAACATCGTACACCTTAAATTTACACAATGTAATATATCAAATTTAAATAAACAAAATGTCTTTTTTTTGCTGTAATAGCATCTAGAATAATGCCTGCACAGGAGATGCTCATTAAATATTTCTTAAATTATTGAACTAAAGCTTGATAAAAGAAAATCATATTTTAGAGAAGACTGTCTCTAGTTAACCCAGACTATGACACTCTGTATGCCTAAAACCCTGGGTTTCTGTCATTGTCCTTTTATGACTATATCCTGGATTATCAAGAAAGATTTAGAATTCAAGATTTTTTCCAGCCTAGAACTTACCATCTCTACTATCACTGTACAACCATCTTGAGTCACTTTGTTTTTTTGTTTTTTTGTTTTTTTCATTTTTTTGGGGGGGTGTTTGGTAATAAATTTTCATTTAAAAATATGAATTCGGAGGATGGAAAGAATTTCTTGAAGGGCAAGCTCCTCACTCTTTCCTGCCTCCCATGGCTTTGGCCACCATCTCTCTCCGATGGCTTGTTCTTCAGGATGCTGACAGCTTGGTTTCTCTGGGTAACATCATGCAAAGGAAATTAGCTCAGTATGTCTTCTACCAAATTCCATCTGTGGCTCAGTGTTTTAAGGTGTTTGTGAACAAGGCTAAAGAGCAATTTTGATAAGACAAGGCAATGTTCCAGTCTCTGAGAATATATCTCTCCCCAAAAAGCATTTTTAAAATACCACTGAACAGCCTGGAAATCTACCCACGCATGAGCAATCTCCTGCAATATACAGAAAGCTTTTCAGGTGTCACCGCTATAATAGCAGGTGGTTCCTTTGGCTAGAAAAATTATGGCAAGAGACAGAAAGAAAACTGTTTTAATATTCTGGATACAGTTTTCCCCCAAGTGAATCATTCCCATATGCCTACTCTTCCCATGGGCCCCTTTTCAGAGGAAGTGGGCTGTGTGAATGGAAGTGTGGAGAAGCAGTCTGGTGGGCAAACTTCAGTGGTGTCCGTATTTGGCAGGTCCAATTAATCTTTAGATATATATCAGCCACTCTTCTGTAAGTCTCAAAAGGCAAAATTTGAATATGGATTTGATTTCTGTTTGTGCTCCCCTCATAATAAACACATAATCTCATTATGAAGATTTAGTAGTGTTCATTTGATGCAAGCCTGCTTCTGAAATTCCATATACATCCATTTTAAATAAAAGCTTACAGGGAAGGCTGAAACTAGAGCAATTGGCAAAGGTGATCATTTAATTCACTTTTTGTTATGAAATATTTGAGACATACAACAAGTTTAAAGAATAAGTATTTGGCCCTAACCGGTTTGGCTCAGTGGATAGAGTGTCGGCCTGCGGACTCAAGGGTCCCAGGTTCGATTCAGGTCAAGGGCATGTACCTTGGTTGCAGGTGCATCCCCAGTAGGGAGTGTGCAGGAGGCAGCTGATCGATGTTTCTCTCTCATCGATGTTTCTAACTCTCTATCCCTCTCCCTTCCTCTCTGTAAAAAATCAATAAAATATATTTTAAAAAAAAGAATAGGTATTTGCTCTTTAGTGATCTTTTGCTGCTTGTAAGATAAAAATCTGTACTGGCACAAAAGACTTCATTTCCAGACAGAAGTGCAGCAAAGCTGGAAATTAAGTTTTGCATAGTTTTTTTTTCTTCCTCCATTGTGTCTAAGAGTAGCATTCTTATCATTTATAGGCATACCACATCTCCTTGACTGAAAAGGGAGATGCTAGTGCCGCCATCTTAACTTCAAATCAACTAAGGTCCCATAGGGAAAGATGTGGAAGCATGCTGATGAAACACTGGACTTTATTTGGATGGAAGACAACTACATGGGAAAATAATAAGAAAACACGGTCATTCTGGCCCCTCCTAATCTCAGAGTGGTGTCATTGGGCATATTCTTTAACCGCTCTACACCTGTTTTCTGAACTGCATAGTAAGGATAATAATAGGATTTGCCTCTTAGTGTTGTTACATGTAAAGCCCTTAGAACAGTGCTGGGCATACAGTAAATCCTCAGTAAATGTTAGCTCACTTTCTTCCTTCTCTTCAACAGAATGTTAGCTCCACATGAGAGCAGTGGCTTGGTCTTATTTAATTCTGTATCCTCAGCTTCTATCGCTTCTCGGCCTTTTGGCTAAGATCATGTGTAGTATCTGTTCTTATCAGTTTAATTCTGTATCCTCAGCTTCTATTTTTCCTACTGTCGGCATCCAGTAAAGCTTTGTTGAATGGATTAATTAACAAGAGTAGTTAGGCTTTGAGGTTGAAAGTGAAAGAGAATTTGTCCTAAGTTTTACATCTACTGAGAGAAAAATGGACTTTGGGTTTAGGGTAGGTTAAGGAGGTAGGAAAGAATCCTAAATTAAGGTGAGAAGGCCCACATTCAAGTTTAAATTCTTCTAACTTTAAGTGTCAAGGCTAAGGGTTTCTTTCTTAATTGGTAAAATGGGAATAACTTCCAAGGTTATTTTGAGGACTAAATTAAGGTGTATGTGAAAGATCATAATAAACTATAAAGGGATCTACAAACACATGATATTAATTTTTATCTCAGCAAGTTTATCCATTGGATGACAATAAAATGATTCTATGAGAGTCTTGGAAGAAAAAATCTTTAGCTAAAGATTTAAGTCCTAAAAATATTCCACCCCAGAGGTACCACAGACGTAGACTAATTTTTTCCATCTGTGCATTTTAGGGTAGATTTGGCATACACTCAATACCAGGCAAGAAAGAAACTATGGTTTAGGCTGCTTTTAAAGTTAAAAAAAAAAAAAAAAGGCAGAAAAGGAAACCATTTCCTTTCATAAGCATGAATGTTAAAATAGAGAAAGCCTTCATCGAGTAATGCATCACCTAAGCAAGACTAATTTTTTAAAAATTGATTTGAGAAAAAGGAGGGGGGAGAGAGAGAGAGAGAGAGAGAGAGAGAGAGAGAGAGAGAGAGGTTTATTGTTCCATTTATTTATGTACTCATTGGTTATTGGTTTATTCTTCTGTCTGCCCTGACTGGGGCCTGAAACCTTGGAGTATCAGGACAACACTCTTCCCAACTGAACTACCGGGCCAGGGCTGAAGTAAGAGTACTTAATCCACATTCTCTTCTACCTTTCCCCACTCCCCTTTTATGTTCTAACTAGAGGCCTGATGCACAGAATTCGTGCAAGAGTAGGCTTCCTTCCCCGGCTGCTGGCACCGGCTTCCCTCCGGCACCCGGGACCCGGGTTTCCCTCGCAGCAGCAGCTTCGTCCAGAAGGTCATTTGGAAAGTCGCCCAGTCTAATTAGCATATTATGCTTTTATTATTATAGATTAGTTAGATATTTTATATATAATGATTTATGTATTATAGTCACTCCCTCCTTATGGGGAAAAGAAATACAGATCATTCTTTATCAGCCACATGTGACTCAGAGGTCAAAAGAGCAGTTCTTTGTGGGATAATCTCCCAGATTAGTAATATTTAAAGACCTGGTGTTCGGAGCCAGGGATTATTCAAATATTACGGCTTTAATATTAGGCTTCACCCATCAGTGCCTGAGTTTGAGATTGAGAAACTAACTTGAGGACAAAGATAAAGGGGCAGGGGGGGAGGGGAGGAGCCATAGTGAGTGAGCTGATGACTCACTGTCCCTTCTTTGAACTTCTGAACTTCAGGAATAACAAGATGGAACAGGGGAAAAAGCACACTGCCCCACTGCAGACCAGATGTTTCATGAAAGGCAAGAAATTCAGGGAACTTAAAAGCCTGTATATGTTCAAAGGGTAAAAGCAATAAATATAATTTTCATGATCAAGTTGTTAAGTGCATCAAAAAAGGACACTAGGAAATGAAACTTGACTGCACTTTACCAGCAGAGCTAGCATCCTAAATCTGATCATTTTATTCTCTTGCTTAATTAAAAACTTCACTAACTCTACATTGCTCCTGGATCAAGTCTAAACTTACAATGGCACAGAATAATCTTCATAACAGGATCCCAAACTTCCCTGGTAGCTTTATCTTCTAATGAATTCTCATTACATGTCTTAGAAGGTATAGAAGGCCACTTATAATTTACCAAATAAGCCAGATACTTCTAAATATGGTCTATTTCTTTACACCATTTTCTCTGCCCAGGACTTCCATCCCAGCTGGCAAACCCCTAACGGTGCTTCAGAGCCTGGCTCAAGTATCATTTTTTCTGTGTACTTTTCTCAACTCCCACTCTCTCCTACTACTCAGAATGAGTGTTCTTTCATCTGTGGAGTCATTGAACTTTAAGAATGCCTTTGATAAATCACTTAACCCTATGCGTTAAGTAGAAGTTCTATTCTCTCCCCAATACCATGAAGGCAAGCAGGAGCCTGTCACTGTGAAATTTTTAGTACACCACAGGAGCATAATACAGGTTTGTTGAATCGAATCAAATATTAGAAGAGAACCAAAGCCTCAATGGATTTTCTAGGCCTAGGAATTTGCTAAATTCACACATGTGATTTTGCTTCGGTCTTTGGACCAGAGTGTGTAATTTGCTTTTATTAAAAAATAGGGTCATGAATATATTTCTCTAGATAAAACATTATGAACCCATTTTCAGCTTAGACTTGGCTTTCCCATAGCTCAGTTTGCCAAAAAGTAGCTGTGTAATTCGAAATATTTTCCTGCTGGAGTGGAATTGCATTTGGGGCTTGCTTCAATCAGTGCTTGTCTCGCTTTTGCTCTTCAAAGAGCCCCCCAGTCAACCAGGCTTGAGCAGAAGGAAACCAGATGAACTCTGTTGAATTTAAATTTTCTACATCCTCTACTTTAGCATTAAAGTTTTCTTCTCTAATTGAACAGATTAACTGAAGCAGTATATGTAATATAGTATCAATTTATACATTTTTTATTTATCCACTATGCTACCTTATTTCAGAAAGTCTTTGAAAGCTTAAAGAAAAAATCCCAAATCAAAAAACAAACTGTTCCACTCAACCCTTCGGTTCTTTTGGTGACCCTGTCAGTGCTGATGGTCAGTCTGAAAGACTTTTGGAAAAGTTTCTCAGGTACTGGTAACAGCATTTCCTATCTTGGTTTACAGTCAATGACTGTCAGAGTCCACAGGCCACTCTTCCCCTATGACCCAGTGTGAGTTCGCTCAATCTTGAAATCAGTCACTGAGGCCCTCACATAACACGGCAGTTGTTATCTGGCTAAGTAAAACTATATAGTTGATGATCGTCTGAAGTGGCTCAGGGGCGACAGTATGAAAATGAAGAGCGGATCTGCCTGAGTTTGAATCTGGCCATACCTCTGACCAGGTTAAGTGGCCCTGGGCGAACTACTTCACCTCTCCAGGCCTCACCTGCCTTTATCAGTAACAAAGGAGAAACAAAGGCACCTACCTCCTATGGAATAAGAGGAATAAGTGGATTAAATGTGTAAAGCGTTTACAACAGTGTCTGGCACACAGTAAGCACTCAAAACATGTTAGCGACTATATTCCTTTAATATTTAATATTTTTAGGTAAGAAAAGTAGGTACAATAAAAAATTAAAGAAAGGCTGATCATTTTTAGGACAGTAGTTTATTTACAAAACCGCAACTCAGTCTGTTTTGGTATCATTATTGACAAAACACCTACAGTTGAGATACTAGTTGAGATTATACACTGATTTTAGCTATACATAAAACCAGAATCTAACACTATCCCAGTTTCCTACTTCTGCGTGGCTCCAAATGTAGCTTGCAAAAGAACAAACTCTCTTTATAATGCACAAGGGCTTAAACAAACCACTTCTTTAGATTTTGTTTTTGTTTTTCTATTTAAGGGTTGGGACTGAGATTACTCATATTTAAAATTTGCTATTTATAGAGAAAGCCCTAGAGAATGAGGTAACTTAAAGACAGAGGTTTGGTTTATCTGGCTTTCATAATACAGTATCCATATGACTTTAGAAGAAGGCAAATAAATAATATTGGTACACAGTATATATATTGATAATTTTCTGACAAATTCATTTATCTAACATCATGCTGAGGAATCAAGAGGATTTCTCCATACATTTAAAAGTGTGTTATATTTGTTGATTCACGAAGTCTTGTTCCATATTAAAGTAGTTGTCACCAAAATAACATATGATAACTAGTACCCATGGAAACCTATCAGCTTGTTTTTTTAAAATTCTCTGTTAAGGTTTATTTCCAAGTTGAGCATCACATATGTATACATGGTTATACGTGTGGATTTATGCATGGATATATGCACAGTTGATATATGTGTGGGTACTAATGCCCCTTATTCAGGAATGTAAAATAATATACCTGGTATCTAGTTGTAAGAAAAACTTCCCCAGATTGGGAGGTAGCAGAGTGGCACATGAAAAAAGTCTCTTATGTGAAGTTAAGAATACACCTATACTAGGCTAATGAATGGAGAGAGGAAGAAAAAGAAGTAGAAGTAGAAGAAAAGAACTACATTGGCTCAAATTAAACAGGTAATTAATTTAAGACAGCAAATAAATAAATCAACAAATGCCCCATTTTGGTTTTCTAAAAAAAGAAATCACTGGAAAATCCTTACTAACAATTTAAAGTTGATCCATTAATATACATTTTAAATAGTAAAAAGTCTAAATATTATATCTATCATAAGTCTATTCTCCTATTCATCTAATACACTCCTCTGCTGAGATATCTAACATGTCTTCATCTGCACTCTCTTCTATCTCTGGCAAGTTGCCCCAAAGTAGGAAGTTAACACCTGAAAAGAAAAGGTCACAAAGTTATTTGGTGCTCATTACTGTTATAACTCAGAACATGATATATGAAACCTTTATGTTAACATTGTTATATTAAACCATAGTGTTAGCAGTAAAGAGAAAAAGCATTGAAAGAATGTACCACAAATAAAATTATCTAATATAATTCATCTAGGACATACATATTCTTCAACCGTTTTAAGCAAGGGCTTGAATTCTAAAATCTTAGGACTCAAAAGGATCTTACGAATCCATTTACTCAAAGCTTGCCTCCAGCTACATTATGCCATAATAACTCTACAGTGATACTTTTCAAATCTATTTTAATGAATGGAGATCTCACAAGATCCTTTTAGATTAAGTATCTCTTTGGAGGGAAAAGACTTGAATAAGTCACTCATCTCTTCAACAAGCATGGAAATAGCTGGTGCCTTTTTTTCTGATTAAAAAAAGCAAGGTTTTGGAGCCAGTTACAATATGAACAATAATTCTTGATATACGTGGATTTTAGTCTAGAGGTTGTCAAGGTAGAATTGTCAACTTTAGAACTAGATTGTAGCTGTCACTACAATAAAAAAAATTACCTAAAACCTCTCATCGTGAAAGGTCAGTCAGCTTTCATATTGAAGAATCCAGCATTTGTATATAATATAAGATCACATATATGGTAGAGGATAATGAGATGGTTTATTCTGGGCATGTACTATATTATACCTTGAAAGCACTAAATTGGAAAAAAAACTGACCTTTAGAAAAGCCAATGAAGTCTTACAAGAAAGTAAATCTCGAGCTGTCCAGTTGGCAGTGTGGGCACAAGCGACTCAGCAAGTCTGGATACCTACTCCACACATACCAAGATTGTGGCCACTTGGTGGAATGGAATGAGCCAGGATTTGGAGATTTGGTTTGAACTCAGTTTCCACTCCTTATCAGTACACCATGGATGTTTTTACTACTTTTACTACAAATGCATGCAACCAGACTATATATATTGTTGTTTTGTGTATTTAAAATTTTACAATATGGTATTATATGTATCTTTTCTAATTTTATTTTTTCTTTCAATTCTCACCTGAGGATACGTTTATTGATTTTAGGAAGAGAGAAACATTGATCGGTTGCCTCCCGTGCATGCCCTGACCAGGAATCCAACCCTGAACTTAGGTATGTACCCTGACGGGGAATTGAACCTGCACCTTTTTTGGTGTGTGGGACCATGCTCCAACCAACTGAGCCACCAGCGAGGGCTCTAATTAGACATTATGTTTTCATTAGACATTATGTTTTTGAGATTACCTATACCCATATGTGCAGATTTAGCTCATTTTCTTTTATTTCTGTAGAGTATTCCATTGTGTGAATTAAAAAAAATTATATATATTGCAAATATGACCCATCGCCCATCCTTTCCTCTAACTGTCCATTTTGCACAGGTGCCTGAGGAGACATGTACAAGCATGTGCATTGTTGTATTGTTGAAACAACAGAAACAATCAACTATCTATCTTAGTTGAGATACTCGAATCTAATAAGGCAAGAAATTAGCATCTGTTTGATATATATAGATGCCTATCATATTGTTTTCTGTAATTTTCTGTCTGTTTAAATTGTTTATAATATACAACACCTTTTTCCCAAGAATGAATGGTTTTGCTTCTGGTCAGATGGCATTGAGAGCTGACAGGACAGTATGGAATCACTAGGTCAAATCTAATGGCCAATTAGAACCCATACAGGTCAATGGAGAGTTGAAGTGAATTTGCCTTTGGAGGCATTTACCCACCCCAGTGAAGGTGAACTGAGGTTTCCCAAGCTTCCCCAGGAACTTCTTAGGAAATCAGGTCTACCTGTGTAGGCTAGCCTAGAACATAGACTTCTTGGGGCCCTTTCAGTCTAAACATTCTAGAATTTTATAAAGCTTGAGTATGTACTCCTTTGAGGCTGCTGACTCAGGTGTTTCAAGGAGAGTTCCAACAGCCATGAGGAACCCTGTTGTATGCCAAGCATCTAGAAAATCCTGCTTTAAATCACAGTATTAGGGTTTCAAAGGAGAAGTCTAATATTCTTGGAGTTAATACACAGAGACACGAGTAGCTCAGCACAATTGGTTCAAAGAAGAAAAAATAAACTAAGTGATTGGATCTGTCAGAAGCAGCACCTTCCTTCCTCTGTTAAGAAGGGAGGAAGGAAACCCTGTGATACATGTGTTTCTCATGGATTAGATTCAATGCAAATGCAAGAATGCTGGGCTTTTATCTTTGAAAAATTGACCAATATTAAGAAGTAAATCAAAATTGAAAAATCTCCACCCTGTGTTTTAAATTCCATGAAGCAGAAAAAAATAATATCAAAGCAGAAACTTCCTTTAATGTGTCCACGAGCAACACAAATATGAAACTGGAAACCTAAATTAGAAGCCTGTATCTCACCTAGGGGAGTTCAGATAAGTCCTTGCTCAAAAATGGCCCTCTTAACATGCTAGAGTCTTAAATTAAGACCCCCACATGGTTGAGAGCCACAATTAAATGCCAGGTGATAAAAAAAAAAAAAAAAATCGGAGTCTCTAAAAACCCACCCATGATTGGAGGGTTTAAAGACCCTGATGACCTAGCTTTTACAATTTATGATCTTGTTTTTAGTCTGTGAAGGGAAATCATATTTTTAAAAAAGGAATATATTTTAAGTTCTGAAGAAGACTAAAATATACATTAAAAAATCCGAGTGTTAGTGCCAATTTGGATTGTCAAATTCTTTAAACTTGTTCCCACTAAAAATGTCCCACTAAATGTCAACTTGGTCTGTTGTATAAATAGGTATTAGACGTTGAAACCATGTCCTATAACAAAACTTGAATGGCTCTAGACAATATAAAATGTATTATGTAAATATCTTTTAAGAATTGGTTGCAGTATTTTCCTACTAAATAATTAGTATGACATATTGATATTAAATATTTCCTTTGACTAAAATTCCATCATAATTTATTAATATAGATGTCAAAATGTCCATTTTCATCTTAAAGCAACATCACCAAATAAATGTTATCTAGTCATCTTCCCTCCCAACTCCCCACGGCCTCAGCCTTCCCTCCATCCCTCCCTTCTTACACACACACACACACACACACTTGACTATCAAATATACAATATTGTTCTCTCTCTCCCTTCCTCTCTCTAATCTTGTCCTTGGATGAGGATTAAAAAAAAAAAGTTAATTTAAAAAGGCCAAGAGCCCTAGCTGGTTTGGCTCAGTGGATAGAGCGTCAGCCTGAGGACTGAAGAGTCCTGGGTTCAATTCTGGTCAAGGGCACATGCCCGGGTTGTGGGCTCAATCCCCAGTTGTGGGCTTGCAAGAGGCAATACCATAGCTATTGTAAAGATGAATGAGCTAATATTTTAATCATAGGACCTTTGCAATAGTAGGTTCCAGATTTATTGTCTAGTGATTTTCTTTTTTCAAAACACACACACACACACACACACACACACACACACACACACACACACGTACTTAGATGTATATAACATGTCTGTCTTTGTCTCCTTCTCATTCTTTAGGATTCAACTCTCCTTAGCCTCTCATGAGAAGTCTTCCCTACCATGCTATGAAAAATAACTCACATCGATGAGATTATGCATACTTGATAATATGTATCAATACAAGAATTTAAAGCAATTAAAATGCTAATTTAAGTCTGGCTGTGGTGGCTCAGTTGGTTGAGAATTGTCCTGTGCACCCAAAGGTTGCCAGTTTGATTCCAGATCAGGGCACCTCCAAAAGGCAACCAATTGTTTCCCTCTCACATCAATGATTCTCTCGTGCTCGCTCGCTCTCCCTTCCTCTCTCTAATCTTGTCCTCGGATGAGGATTTTAAAAAAAAAGTTAATTTAAAAAGGACAAGAGCCCTAGCTGGTTTGGATCAGTGGATAGAGCATCGGCCTGAGGACTGAAGAGTCCTGGGTTCAATTCTGGTCAAGGGCACATGCCCAGGTTGTGAGCTCAATCCCCAGTCATGGGCTTGCAAGAGGCAGCCGATCAATGATTCTCTCTCATCATTGATATTTCTATCTCTTTTTCTCTCTCCTTTTCTCTCTGAAAAAAAAGGGGGGGGCGGGCAAGAAATCCTGCTAAGTTTGAGGCTCTTAAATAAAATGATGAAAATAGAAATGGCAATGAATTTTGGCTACTAGTATCCATAAGTGTTTGGGATAATATGATTGACGTTTCAGTCTAGTAGATCCAATCCAGGTAAAGTCTCAGAGGGAGTCCTGAAATGATCTACTGGGAGTTTCACTCAGATGTTGATAGACAAATGTTATAGGAATGTTCCAGTCAATTGTTTCTTACCTGTAGAGTCTAGTCTGTTAATACCATAAACTGCCTGGCTGTGAAACATCCAGAAGTGCCCATTGTTACAGGAGAGAAGGCAGGAGCAACATGGAACAATCACATGATAACCCACAATGTTCCCACTAAAAAAGAAAGTAAATATTGTTAGAGGCTGTGTAACATCTGACCATGTAAGTATTTTTAATGTAAATAGATGACATAAAGACCTCACTTCCTCCTAACATCCTCCATTGCTGGGATCTTTGGGATGTGATTTATTCTAATAATGATGACAGTGCTTCTGTCAAGTGGCAAAATAGACTTTAAGTGAAATAATACTAACATTTTCTCCATTTCTTTGCTAGTATTATTTTATGCATTTTCCCTTGAGAAGCTAGCTTCCAGATGACATAAGGTTGTGATTTGCTCTGTAAAGAACTCCAAATTGATGTGCTGTGCACACAAAATATATTAAATAAACTCAGATCTGTGGGTAAAAGGTTTTTGCTATCCTCAGGACAGTGGCAAGTTGGGTTCTTACATGTTCTAGCTCCATGCCAGGACCTAAAAACTGTTTCAACAGATGGAGGAGTAGGAAGACAGCATGAGCCCCTGTAAACCAAACACAAGCTGGCTGCTCTAATTTTAGTCTCAGTGTTTTTGAGGGAATTCAGAAGTAAAGCAAATCTATAGCCTCTAGAGAAAGTTGCAAAAGTTTTCACTGTCTTCACGATTATGCATCTGATTATAAGTACCTTACTCTTCTACAGGGTTTGGTGTTTGTTGTTTTTTTTCCTACCTGGTTACTATTAAATAGATTGAATATACAGGGAATGTTTTAGTAGGCACTTAAAAAAATGACAACATGAACTGCTTACACCTTAAGGTGTAAAAAGTCTTATTATAGCTTGTTCTCATCCAGTGAGATATGAGAGTGAGTTATTTTTGAGGGCCTATTAAAAAATAGTATATAAGAGGTACCAGCCCACCTAAAATATATCTTCTAATCATAATCTGATTGAAAGGCAAACGAATGAAAACAAAAGTTGTTCTTGGACTAGGACTGGTTGTTATTTGTAAAACTATTCTTGTGGCTTTCAGTACTGCCCTTATTCATTCATTCCACTAATGTTATTGAGCTTGTATTCTGTGTTAGGAATACAGGGTGGACAAGGTTTTTGTTCTTATGGAGCTAACGTTCGAGTAGGGACATCCCAGATCATTTTGCTCCCTTCTTAGAACCCCTTCAGTGGCTTCCCATTGGCCAAAAAGAAAAACAAATAAACTCCTTCATACCAAGGTCTAGATCTGCACTATCCAAATGTGGCTACTGAGCACTTAGAATGTGGCTAGCCTGAGGTGAAATGTGCTGGGAGTATAAAACAGACACCAGATTTGAAAGAATAAGAATAAAAAACAGAATGTAAAACATTTCATTCATAATGTTTTTATATTGGTTACATATTGAAATGATAGTGTTTTGCATATATTGAGTTAAATAAAATACATGATTAAAATTAATGTCACCTGTTTCTTTTTACTTTAAAAAAATGTGGTTACTGGAAAATTTTAAATTCCATATGCAACTTGCGTATTTCTATTGGACAGCGCTGCCCTAGATTATCTGTGTTTTGACTACATCTCTAATGTACTCATACTACTCTCCCCAGATGCTCACAAAGTCTCAGCCACGCTGCCATTATCCTTTTATTCCCGGAATGTCTAAAGCATCTTCTTACCTTGGGTCCTTTGCACTTGCTATTCCCTCTGCCTAGAACATTCTTTCTCTGTCTCCTTCTCATTCTTTAGGATTCAACTCTCCTTAGCCTCTCACGAGAAGTCTTTTAGAGTTTTAAGTTTATTCGAGATCAAATAGGGAGTAGGGGTAGAGCCAGGACGCAAACCTAATTTTTAGGACTAAATCTAGGTGTGTTCCCCGCCCCCCCCCCCCCCTTCCCCCCGCAAACTACTTGCCTTTTTCTAAAAATTAAAGCAGATATTTGTCAATGAACTTTGAGAAATTGTAAAATCATATACAAATTTAAAGTGCCACAGGCCCTTTAAAAAATAGCTCTTAGTAACAAATGGAAAATTTTAAATTCCATATGCAACTTGCAATGGCTCATTGCAAGGGTTATAACCAGTGCTCGATGCAGTCCACTGAACCTTTGTGTCTGCTTTGGTGTCAACATCCATCTCCCAAACCCAGGGCTATTTAGAATATTGTCATAGATACCATTTTAAACATGCGATGTCCTTCAGTTTACATTTGCAGATTTCAGTATAATAGCATCTTCCTATTAAGTCCACTGTGCTGAAGAGAGAAAAGTGTAGAGATAGTCAAATGTACCTTTTTTAAGTTGTTAGATGGATATAACATAAAATTTATTAATTAGCCATTTTTAGTGTATAGTTCAGAACTGTAAAGTATATTCACATTGTTGTACAACAAATCTCCAGATCCTTTTCATTTTATAAAATTAAAACTCTATGCCTATTAAACAATTCCCCATTTCCCTCTCCCCGCAGCCCCTGGCAATCATCATTCAACTTTCTGTTCCTATGAATTTGACTGCTTTAGATACCACATATAAGTAGAATCATACAGTATTTGTCTTTTTGAGACTGGCTTATTTTCACTTAGCATAATGTCCTCAAGGTCCATCCATATTGTAGTATGTGATAGGCTGGATAAGATTTCATTGTATGCATATACCTTACTTTGTTTATTCACTCAGCTATTGACAGGCATTTGGTTTTTTTGTGAATAATGCTGCTAAGAACATGGCTGTGCACATATCTCTTCTAGGTCCTGCACTGAATTTTGTTGGATATATACCCAGAAGTGGGATTGCTGATCATATGGTAATTCTATTTTCAATTTTTGAGGAACTGTTATGCTTTTCCATAGCAGAGGCCCTGTATTACATTAGCACCAACCATGCACAAGGGTTCCAATTTTTCCATGTCCTTGCTATCAAATGTACTTTTGATTGTGATTTAGTATGAATTTTATAGGCCCGAAGAGCTAAAAGTGAGTCTGAAATAGAACTATAGTATATTTTGTAAGAGTCAGTTAATATTTGTGAGCTCAACATAATATGACAAAACTTCCACTTAAAAACCTTATGTGCTCACTGATTTTCAAACATTAATCCATACTCTTATAATTCCTACAAACATAGACAATAGGAAAGATTCAACTCTATTCTAGACTCTTATCTAACCTCTAACAATGAACCTTCTTATGACTGTCTCATCACTTACCATAGCTATTGTAAAAATGAATGAGTTAATATTTTAATCATAGGACCTTTGCAATAGTAGGTTCCAGATTTATTGTCTAGTGATTTTTCTTTACACACACACACACACGTACTTAAATATTAACCCATTTATCTTTGCAATATGTAACGTTGTCATCAGGCACGACTACACTTGAACCAATTCAGGAAAATTTCACGACTTTCACTATATTAAATTTTTTTTCTTTTTTTTAAAAAAATATGTTTTTATTGATTTTAGAGAGGAAGGGAGAGGGAGAGAGAGAGATAGAAACATCAGTGATGAGAGAGAATCATTGATCGGCTGCCTCCTGCATGTTCCACACTGGAGATCGAGCCTGCAACCGGGCATGTGCCCTGACTGGGAATCGAACCATGGCCTCCTGGTTCATGGGTTCACACTCAACCACTGAGCCACGCCAGGCAGGCTGAAAAATGTTTTTAAGTTTCTATTATTATCATGAAATTCACTTTAAATTATTATAACTATTAGCCTGCCTCCTCTGGCTGTGTCCAAAGAATACTTACTTATTCACCCATATTATGGATAATCACTCTTTCACTTTAATGATAAAGATTCAATAAAGAGCTAAATCTTGAAAATCATTTAAGGGCTATGTTGACCATGTAGAGAGAAAGTACTTTTTAGAGCAAGAAAAAGGTATATTTGAGTCAAATAAAATGGTTATTTTTCCAAATAGGAAGCAAATTTGTAAGGGCTCTACCACACCCGAAAGTGGGTAGTGACTGAAAACAATTAAAGAGGATTGAATTACACAAGTGAATGCATGATATCCAAAATAGACTTTATGGGAAGACAAGGATTCTTTAAGGGTAAGTCTTTATTTCATCCCATACAAACCTAAGTCTCTCTCAGAAAAGGATATTTTTGAGAAAAGAGCACTGAATTATAAGGACAATGGAATAAGCATGCCAATCGCAAATAATGGTAGAAAACTATGAATTTTTGGGGGGCTGTAAAACGATGGATAAAAATGAAAAACTTGGCCTACCTGATTTGGCTCAGTGGATAGAGCGGCAGCCTGGGGACTAAAGGGTCCCGGGTTTGATTCCGGTCAAGGGCACATGCCTAGGCTGTGGGCTCAATCCCCAGTGGGGAGTGTGCAGGAGGAAGACGATCAATGATTTTTTCTCATCATTGATGTTTCAATCTCTCTCTTCCTCTCCCTTCCTCTCTGAAATCAATAAAAATATTAAAAAGAAAAACTTGACCTCTCCCACCGTACAAAAAAGCTTGCTTGAATTTCCTAGAGTCTCTAGGTCATGGCCTTGATCCAGTGAGAAGGATAGTTGGGCAGGGCTTAGGGCCAGGGATCCAGCTTCAGGGGTGTGGTCACATGACTAGGAGCATTACATCAGGACTGACCACTGCGGCTAAACCACAGACTTTGTCCAGACAGTCTGCCCATTTTAGTTATACGCCAAGGGGATCATCAGGCTGGTGGGAGTGGCTGGAACACCAACATGATAATCCCCTGGTTGACTCCGAGGTCCAAGCCCTAACATCTTCCCATTTAGTTAAAGGCTACCGTCCGCTGCCCGCCACCTGCAAATGACTTACTTGGTAGGAGGGATGTCTGTAGAGAAAAGGTCTATGTCAGTGTCGGCCAGCAAAACAGCCTTCATGCCCCGAGAGCTGAGCACTTGTTTACAGAATTTGCAAGACAGGATGGACACGCACCGGTCCTGGAAGCTACAGCTGCTGGTAGACATGGCGTCCCGGGCAAGGATGTGGCGTGGGATTTGAAAAAATGCAAGCAAAGAGCAAGACCCTTCCTAGGTGGATTCCCCTGGGGCTAAAAATAAAATGGCGAGGCCTCGAGCTTTCCTGAACCCTAAAATTGGGAAGGAGAATTAGTTCTTTTTTTTTTCCCCGGGGAGGGTAAAAGTAATATTTATTGAGCAGGAACAGGAGAGAGCAGCAGCAGTTTTGGCTTTATCCTTTGAACTTTCCGGGAAGGGGGAGAGGTTTGAAGTGGGCGGGGGAGGGGGGCAAGCTGCTAGGGGCCTCGGGAACTTGTCTGCCGTTTTCCCTTCCTCCCGTCTACAGGGATCCTCTCCTCTGGCTCCCCCTCCTCCAGCAATTCCCTCGCATGTAAAGCTTCTCCTCTCCCAAGCCCCTCCCCCCGAGAGCTCCAATTCCTATTTGTCGGGTCGCGGGCGGTCTCCCTACCCACGCCTCTTCCAGGAAATGCCCTCGGTTCCCAGGCTTCGGAAATGCCCTGAGCCCTGCCCACCGGAGGGTCCCTGCTTCTCCGCAGTCCTGCAGCGAACCTCCGCCGCTCGGCTCGTCCCAGCCGGCCCCCGGCTTCGCTTCTCCCGCGGCAGCCCCCAATCCTCAGCGTGCAGGCTCTCGCGTCCCCCTCGTGCCCCCGGTCCCCGCGGCCTTCCCTCCAGGCCTCTCCCGGAGCGGCCGCTCCAGAACGTGCGGTGGTGGAGGTGGTGGTGGGGCTCTCTTTGGGGGCTCAGTCGACTTTGGGATTCCCGGTCACCGAACACGTCGTTTTCTGCCTCCTCTTCCGATCGCTCTGCCTTTCCAAACCGGTTGTCAGTTTGAATTTCCATCGCCGCGCACCGATTGGGAGAACTAGAGCTCGCCCACGTCCTGCATTGGAAGGCTCGGAAGCCGCGGACGCGATCTTAGTGGCGAGGGGACCGTACGCCCCGCCCCAGTAACGGTGCCGACATCGATTCCGCTTTCTGGTTGGCCGAGCGTGGCTCCGCCGCCGGCCTCATTGGCGGGCTCCTGGAGGTTTGGGCGGGCCCACTCCGGCTCTAGTGGAAGAAGCCAGGACGCCCTTTGCGCTTCTGATTGGAAGACGTTCTACAGTCCACTCTGGTCTCTACTCTCTATTGGCTAAAATTCTCCCCAACGCCCCTCCTCTCCACCGGTCCAATTGGTCGTACCTTTTCTCAAGAATTCGTGTTTGGTTGCTGGTTCCAACTTAATCCCGCCCATTAATTCTACTTTAGGGTTCGTCCACAGTGGGAGGAGCTTACCCCGTGACTACGCCTCGGGAGTGCTAGTCACGCCTCCAAGCTTCGCCAGTCCCGCCTCCTCATTCCTGGCCTCTCGGGATCAGCTATTCCTATTGGCTACAGGCCCTATCGGTCGATAGAATGCGGGCGGTGATTGGCAAAAGGGGTGGGTCCTGCTTCCCGGCGGGGTCCTGCGGAGTTGGCGGAGGCTCCGGAGGGGACTAGGGGACCAATCTGCGTAGGAGCGGGTGGCGGGGACGAGAGGGCAGGAGAACTCTGAGTGGAAAGCGGACCCGGGGGCCTGGGACCCGTGGCGTCAGAGCCAGGTAAAGGCTCCTTCCCTCTCCCCTTCCTTCCTCCCGGCGGCGGGACCACAGCCCTGACTGCACAAACCCGGGTTGGGGCGGAAAGGAGAGGGCGCAGATGCTGCTTGCTGCATCGCTTTAGCGGTGCCGCCCGCAATCCCTCCACCCCCCTACCCCCCCGCGATCCTCTCCAAAACTCTGAGTGCAGCCCTGAGCTGTCCTCAGGACGGCATCTCTCCGCCCTTCACCGCACCGCACCGCTCGGGGCTGTGCCCGGGCTCACGCCGCCGCGCAGCCCGCACCCAGCCCCCTCCCCAAGCACTCTGCAGTCGGACCGCTTTGGGGCAGCCGTCCTTGGCAGCACCCGTCACCGTCCGCGGCCCCTCAACTCTGTCTCCAAGTCCTGCACCCAGAAGGGGTGTTCCGCCCTGCTTCCGGGGCCCTTCCCGGGTCCCAGCCCCCCGGCCCGCCCCAATGGCTCCTCTTCGCACTCGGGTTCCCAGACCCCAGAAGTGGGTCCCCCAAGTTGCTAACATCCCTGCGCTTCATGGAACATCGCGGGCCACGATAGACTCCGAATTCCCCCCTCACCTTTAAGGCAACCCTCCCCGTCCCCTCTCCCCGTCCTTCCTCCAAGCATGTGCGGCGGCTCTCGTTACCCTCGGCTCCCGTGCAGCCTCGGGACCCCACCTCTCCTCCCCTCCCGCTTCCTGCCCGCCGGAACTCCCTCGCCGCCTCTGCTCCCTCTTCCTCGCTCCGTGAGGCCCTTTCTCCGGGGCGCGGGCAGCGGGAGACGCCGGCGGGAGCCTCTTCCTCCCGGCACCGAGAGGGAAAGGGGCGGCCAAAGAGGTTGGATGGCCGCTGCGGCGCGCCGGGGAGCGCCCCCCGGCTCTGCGCTCCCGCCGGCTTCCCTCCTGCCTCCCGGCCCAGGGCAGAGGCGGGATCTCCTCGGGCACCTCCCGGAGCGAGTAGTTGGGTCTGCGATCGTCACTGACCCCTCTCCTCCTCCCCCCGCCCCCGCCCCCAGCCGGGATCTCTGGGCTTGGGTGACAAAAAATGTTGGCGATGGCATTTAGAGTCGCTCTCATCCCTGGCGTGGGGCAGGCAACGGCTGCCTTCCGCCCCCCTCCCCCCGCCTCCCGATTTTCCCGAGTCCGACCCTCGCCTCTAACCCGTTTCCTGCTTCTGCCGACCACATTGTTTTCCTGGATGTGTCCCTGTGTCCCTTGCCGAGCAGGCTTTTTCCTGCAGATCCACACCCCCCCCCCCCCAACCTTTTGCTGCCAAGGGAAGCTAGTAACCAAAAACAAAACAGCTGGGAGGAGGGGCGGCAGGGGAAGAAAAGTTGTGCCCGGGTGGCTTGTCCCTTCACGGCTTTGATCCCCTTTGATGTCCAGGGAGTTGCCCCGCTGGGGGTCAGGGGCCGCGTCGGAGGCTGGGCAGGGAGGGCTCCCTCCGGCTGGCCGCTGCCCAGCGCTGCTGGGGCTCCGGAGGCCGCCGAGGTGCCGCAGTCCCCGCCCGGAGCCCCGCGTTCCCGCCGCAGTCCCCACCCGGAGCCTGCGCAGGCGGCTGCTCCAAAGTGTTCTCTTGCAGCCTTAAAACAAAATCCGGAGGGAGCTTCCTTCCTCCCCACGTCGCCTGGCCGAGCTCTCCTGGCCGGGCGGCGTTGGTCGGAGATGAATGGGCCTGGGCCGGGCTGGGAGTGTCGCCCTCTACCCCACCCCCGCAGCGATTAGAATCTGCTCTGGAGCTGATCACCCCCTCCCCTGATCCCTGCATTTACAGGCAAGTGAACCGGAGCAAACGACTTCCGATCCAGTCCGTGCTGCTGCGGCTCCCGTTTGGGATTTGATTTGCAGCATCTTCGAGCCTGTGCAACAAAAAACCGCGAAGCACGCCCAGTCCTCCAACCGGCACCCCGATACGCACCCACTCCCTCCTGGGGACTCTGCTGGGCGCGTCCACACCCCCGCACCCCCCACACCATGTTGTGCGGATGGACTTGCACTCCCTGCCTGTGTCGTTGATGTCAGACCCCAGGCCAACCTCCGGGCGCTGCAGTTCTCCTGGCTAATGCTGAGCCTGCGGCTCGGGCTCTAGCACAGGAACCAGCCGCTGCCGCGCCCGGCCCCAGAGCCCACCGTCTGCATGTGCCCGCCGTAGCCGCCTGCCTAGCCCGCAGCCCGCGCTCCCCGGAGCGCTGGAGACCACCGCGGTGGGCCCCTTCTGCCTTCAGGAGACGCGGTCTTGGAGGTATTGATTTAGGTGGTTGGATTTTTCCCGTGGATCTATCAATTCACAATTCGAATTTGGAAGAAAGAAGGAAAACATGACGTCTCCGGCCAAATTCAAAAAGGATAAGGAGATCATAGCAGAGTACGATACTCAGGTCAAAGGTAAGGGCTTGGAAAAAATAACGTAATGCATATGCTGGGTGGGCCATTGAGGCATGGATTTCCACCCTGATTTGCAGGAGGTTCGTTTCTTTGGGTGGAGCAGGTGGGGGCAGGCTGACCCCAGAGGTGGTTTCATAGGTGGATCTGAGCCTCTGAGAGATGGGCAGTGCCAGGAGCTACAGGCTCAGGGAAGGGATTTTCAGGGTGGGCTTTAGGGTTTGTTCTTGTAGAGCTGGCCCTTTTTTTGTCAGCCCTTTCTCCCAAGCTGGAAAGGGTGGGGGGAGGGGCGGGAGGTTCTTGGAGAGAGAAAGGCGGCAATTTGCCTCTGGTTGTCTGGGTCAGGTTTCTTGAAGGACTACTGAAATCTGACAGGTGTTAGGGAATTTATTCCCGAGGATGGAGTTGAGGCCAGGCAGAGAAAGGCAACCTTGAGAATGTGTACCTTTTGGAGAGCCCTGAGAGAGGTGGTTTTTTTTCCTGATGTACTCTATCCAAACGTGACATTTGCTATATGGCATCAGACACACAGAGTCGGTAGCCACTTTGGATGCACCTTGTGCCTGCCTGGTCTCTGGTTGCCCTGCATTCAGCCAAAGATCAGAGGACAGAAAGAATAAGGTCACTCACACTCCGTCTCCGCCCTCGCCTAAACCTGAATGGAGTTGGGGTGTTAGGCTTGCCGGGTGGTGCTGATTCTGGAGGATAGGAAGACATAATTGTTTAATTTTCTGCATGGTCACCCTCTGCTCTGAAATACATGCTTTTAATGACCCACTTATCTGCAAAAATGTGAAGGGTAACGCGAAATGTGGATCTGAAGAAACCAAAGGACCTGTCTTCACATCTAGTGGACTTGGATTAGGAGAGGTGTGGTTGTGAATCAAAGCCCCTTTTCTTTTTGAAACCAGCAATTCCTCTAGGAGGGGTTTCCCCCTGATTAGGAGCCCCAGCATGTGTTGGTGCAAGGCCCTGTCCCTTCCTGGCCGGTGACTGGGAAGAGCCATGTGGCTCTAGCCCATTGAGACCTCCTCAGCTGGGGATGGGAGTGGTGGGTGGCCTTGAATGTTACACCACATGGTTGGAGCTCTGGGTTTTCCTTTGTTTCAGAGTACAGAGGGAGTGTCCCCGCCTTTCCCTGCACCAATTCAAGGAGACCTTTTCCTATCATAGAAGACTTGGAAAGGGCCATGTCTCCCCTCCAATGATTGCCTGGGGTGGGGTAGAGCGAAGAGTTTGAAATGGGCAGTTGTCTAATACCTTAGAAGGTTGAAGGTAGTTTGAAGTCCCCATTGTGCCTGTGGGATCTTCTTAATGTCATCAGCTTGGTCAATGCTGGAGGTACCCTGAGAGACCTTCTCTCCACTTGGCTACATATATTGGTGGGTTTATGACAGAAGATGGGGGAGTTGACTGATGGATAGCTTCAGTTGAATTGGGATTGGGAGAGGTGTGGTTGTGAATGATAATTGAGGTCTTGGCCTCTTGTCCCTGTTCATAACCCAAGCCTGTTTTTGTAAACAATAGGCCACAACCTCCATGTCCTGTTCAGATGCACTGCATTCTGCTTCTGGAATTCCCTCCCACCCCCCACCCTTCGCCCCTGCAGTTTTAACCAGATATGTCATTCTTTTTTTTACACATCCTATTCTTAACTGTTGCCATAGGGAGCGTGAATAACTTTGACTTTCCCAGATTTCTCTCCAGAAGCATGCCGTTTGACTAAGGTGTAAAATGATTTTACATGTTTATTTTTTGGAAGGTTCAGGGTTGATAGGTGTTAATAGAACTGTATCTGCTGATTCCTTAATGGTGAAGGATTTCTCACGAATGTCTCAAAATTAAACACTTTGTGTATATACAAACGTTGCTCCTTGAGATGATGTAATGAAGTTGGCTATTTGGGATTTCTCCTTCACCTTGCCACAGCAGGGGACTGCTTTGCTTTGCTCTGGTATTTTCTCATCGACACTATTCGTAGATTTTATAGGTGGCTGAGCATGATGTCTCATTCAGAGAAGGTGCCCAATAAATGCTTATGAAACTGATTTGAATGTTTTAGTCCCTCATTTTATAGCTGAGACGAGGATAGAAAAATTAAGAGGCTTGTCCAAGGTCATGCAGCTAGGCAGTGGCAGATTTGAAACCAGAAGCAGGTTACCAACTCCTACTTCTTTATTTTATTATATTCATATTTACTATGAAACATTATCTGACCACAGTAGGGTGTGTGTGTGAAATCTTAGGAAGTCAAAATTTGTCAGTGAATAATAGTAATAATATGATAATAATAGATTACATTTTGGGTGCTCAGTATATTCCAGCCTGTCACAAGTGCTCTATAAGAATTGTCTCATTTAATTCTCATATCAACTCTGG